TGGAATTAGCATCACCTCCCCCTGCCCCGCACTCCTCAAAAGAGAAGAGGAAGTGTGTGCATTACAAAGCCTATTTAATGGACCAACACGTATTAAAATGATCTTATTTCAGTTTGGGCTTGCATAAAAATCACAGATATAATCACATGTCCATAAGACTCTTAGACAGAGTATCTGCTCTTCATTGTGTTAAGAAAAAAAAGGATGTATTTTTTGTTCATTTTGCAAGTTGGTGTAAGGTAAGGAGGAGGCACAGTGGCGTAAATAAATGCATCGTGAAGACACATTAAGTGAGTTGTTTTTTTTTTTTTTTAGCATCAGAACTCAAGCACTGAACTAAGCCCTCTTTTAAGGCTCTTACCTGCCTTCTGGTGATTTGTTTCATTTCTCTTATCATCAGTACAATCTGTACTCTTGGAAGCATTTTGGTGTTTAGAGTTTCTGTAAGAGCCGTTGTCGAGAATGCATGATGCTTGTGAACAGCCGCACTGAAATTGGGAGCGGAACTCTTCTGTGTTACAGCAGGGGACGTGGCCTTCACTCTGGAAGGGGCCGTTGCCAAGTGGGAGGTGATTTTTGACCCTTCCAGTTATACTGCCATTAAATGGCATTTAGAGTGGAAAGGGAATTTGAGCATAGAGTTGTCAGTTTTCAAACCCCAGGCTTCAGAGTGTGGAAAATACTGTCGGTCTATGCCACACATTGGGAAATGCTAACTGTGAAGATTGAGAGGTTCTGCCTTCAGACTGACTTGTTGTTCTTCTTGTTGTTATACTGCAGTGCCTGACTATGTAAGCTGTGGGGCAGGAAAGATGTAGGCTTTTTACCATTTTTACTCCTTTTTTTTATCCCTCCAACCCATAGATCAGAGGTCCCTAATCCAGTGTTAACAGATCACACTGAGGGTTCAGGGTCAGCACTCATAACTCTGCTTTTCTTTCAGTGTGAGATGCATTCAGCCGATACCAGGCTTTTACTTCTTCTTTTGGGATCTTCAGAGAAGTGATGGCAAATATAAAATGTCCTCCAGAAAGGAAGGAAACCTGTTGAAATTTGTGCTAGGAGGTTACCTGTTTGCTGTTTCACCTCCTCTTCTCCAAGGCGTACTCAGGAGGGTTAAGTTGCACTTAGAAACTGGCTGAAGAGGAGCTGAACAGTAAACTCAAACTTTGACTTTTGTACACCTTGCTGCAGAGGCTTTCCTGTTCCTGCAGCTCCCTTAGGTTTCTCCATTGGTTGTTCCAGCTCTCAGACTGTTGATGCACTTGATGTATGCGCCATGTCCGGAGCT